CCATATTTTCCAACTACTGATCCTTCCTCTTTGTTTCCAACTTTCGCATGCCAATCACCGGTAATTATCAATGAATGCATCTTGAGGGCATGTTCGATCAATTTCAGAATTCGGAAGTTGGTAAAAATCTTCAATTTCTTCATCTTTGGCGTTAGTGGTTGGTGTGTAAATTTGAATAATAGTTGTTCTAACTATAGGTGTATGAATGTTATCCTATCACTGACAGCTTCGTACTTCAGGATATATCTTGAAATGTTCTTTTTGACAATGAATGCAACACCGTTCCTCTTCAAATTGTCATTCCTGGCATAGTAGACCATATTACTGTCTGATTCAAAATGGCCAATACCAGCCCATTTCAGCTCTCTAATGCCTAGGATATCTATCTTTAAGCATTCCATATCATTTTTGACAACTTCCAATTTTCCTAGATTCATACTTCATACATTCCACGTTCCAATTATTAATGGATGTTTGCAGCTGTTTCTTCTCATTTTGAGTCATGCCACATAGGCAAATGAAGGTTCTGAAAGCTTTACTCCATCTACTTCATTAAGGTCAACTCTACTTTGAGGAGGCAGCTCTACCCTAGTCGTATTTTGAATGCCTTTCAATCTGAGGAGCTCATCTTCCGGCACTATATCAGACAATATTCTGCGCTATTCATAAGGTTTTCACTGGTCAATTTTTTAGAAGTAAATCACCAGGTTGTTCTTCCTAGTTTATCTTAGTCTGGAAGCTCCACTGAAACTTGTCCATCATGGGTAATCCTGCCAGTATTTGAAATATCTGTGGCATAGATTCCACCATCACAGCAACATGCAAGCCACCACAGTATGACAAACTGACAGACAAGTGGTGGACACAAAAAATAGGATATAAAAAGGGATGAAATAGTATCTTTAAATTATTGTAAAGTGTACTTATTAATATTATAAAACTCTTTGCTCTGATTTTTGAAATGGCTACTAATCATACGATTTTTAGTGAGAACAATATGATTGAATACATTGAAGTACATGTTGGCTTAACTAAATAAATCACAATAATTCGTTTTCGATCCCATCTACAAATTTTGTACAGGTTTTTATTGAAAAAATTTTAGTAAGTTTCCATCTTTCTGCATGTCAATTAGTTACATTTTTTCCATTTTAAACAAATGGATCCAAACTCCACTGAAACTTTTCTTTTGGAAGATTTAAATCATGTAAGAAATTTCTGCGTCCAAGATTTAAAGTGTTCAGATATGAGAGTTTTTATAGATGACATATTTATGAGATTTCTGGCAAAAAAAATCATATATTGGAAGCATTTCCAAATGCCTGTATTCAAAATGCTCTCTTCATAGCATATATTTTTTAAACTATTTAATTTTATATTAAATATTACCTTTAATTCAAAAGGACAGATTAAGCCCTGATTTTTTTTTTTTTAATATCTGCCACAGAGCATAGTTCTGTCAGCCCTTTGTCATCTCATAAAAGGTCAGAATATTGGACGTCTTCCCTGCCCCCCGCCCCCAACCTTGGTAATGGAAAAAATCCACAGTTCATCCTTAAATTCGAAAAAATTTTAAATACTTTGCCATGGTATAGGAACACTAGTGGCGCAGTGGTTAAAGCACTGGACTGCTAACGAAAAGGTCGGCAGTTCAAACCCACTAGCCGCTCCACGGGAGAAAGATGTGGCAGTCTGCTTCCGTAAAGACTACAGCCTTGGAAACCTTATGAGGCAGTTCTACTCTGTCCTATAGGGTCGTTATGAGTCAGAATTGACTCAATGGCATTGGATTTGGTTTTGGTTTGGTGCCATAGTATACCAACAAAACCATGCAAAGCCCTGGTATACCAGCTACAAAAGACAAAAGATGCCCATGGTCACTCCCATCCAGCTTCACCTATTATGTCCCTTAGCCCTTTTGGTGCTTCTGGCTTCAACTTCACTACTGCAATAGTGTAACTTTGAATAGTGCAATGAATGAATTTTGTAAATACTGCTATTTCTGGAAACTTGTCCCAGAGTGATTTTCTTATTCTAGTTAGAGCAGACATTCCATCATTGATTACACTTGTACCGTTTCCCTACATATCATGATTTTTGTTTTTAAAAAGTCATGTACTGTTGAAAATGTAACTTCTCTGGTACATCCTTTCTTGTTGTTCTTAGGTGTCATCGAGTCAGTTCCGACTCACAGTGACCCTATGTACAACAGAATGAAACACTGCCCGGTCTTGCACCATCCTAACAGTCATTGTTATGCTTTATCTTGTTGTTGCAGCCACTGGGTCAATCCGTCTTATTGAGGGTCTTCCTCTTTTTTGCTGACCTTCTACTTTACCAAGCATGATGTCCTTCTCCAGGGACTGGTTCCTCCTAATAACATGTCCAAAGTACATGAGATGAACTCTTGCCATCTTTGCTTCTAAGAAGAATTCTGGCCGTACTTCTTCAAAGACAGATTTGTTCATTCTTCTGGTAGTCCATGGTATATTCAATTTTCTTTGCCAACATCACAGTTCAAAGGCATCAATTCTTTTTCAGTCTTTCTTATTCATTGTCCAGCTTTCTCATGCATATGACGTGATGGATAACACCATGGCTTGGGTCAGGCAGACCTTAGTCCTTAAAGTGACATCTTTGCTTAGAGACTCACAAAAAGTAGATATTTTTTGTATTTTATTATTAACACATATTTGAGCAACTGTAATCTGAGAATTTCTGTGAAAAGGGATCTATGTAGGCAAAGGTACAGGGATTGGGAATTGCTTCTCCTTCTCTTTGCACAATATCTCTTGTGTATTTTCCTGCCTCTTCTTTCATTGCCCAAGCTCAAAGAGGCCTGTTGATACATAATTCACAAAATTATACCAAAGTGCAGAGGACAAATTGGCTGGTTTCCCTCTGAGACAAGAATTAGAAAAGCTTCACATGAATGCAATATTTGAACCAGACCTTAAAAGGTGTTAAAATTTGAGGCGGAGAATGGAAGTAGAGAGGACCTCATTGAGCACTGCAGAGGTGCTGGAGGGTAGGTTGTGTGCAGGGAAGTCTGAAAGAGCAACGTGGCCGTTTAGAGATTGTCTGGCCCTTGGAAAGAGAAACACCTTGCTTTCAATCTAACTTTGCCAGGCGTTAGTTGTGTGACCTTTGAGCAATAACTTAATCTTCCTGAGTCTTGGTTCCCCCTTCTTTAAAAAGGGGACGATAATACATATGGCACAAGGTACTGTAGGAATTTAGTAAGATGAAATGTAAACCCAGTATCTGGCCCAAAGTATGTTACCCAAAAGACTATCCCTCTTCTTAGCTTCTCTCCCATTTAAGGAGTTTATTCATTAGGCAATGGAGTGTCAGTGAAGATGTTTAAGCAGAGAAGTAATTTTAGAATCAAATCATAGCTTTAAAAAGTAGATCTGGTAGCATTGGCAGGTATGGGCAAAGTGAATGTGTGGGTTGAAAGTACTTTGAAAACCATTTAATATTATAACCTTCTGAGAAAGATTTTAAACCATATTTGTGATAGTTGCACAGGTATAATTTTAAGAATAGCATTTACACAGTTATGTTGTTCGCACAGGGTGCATAATATGTAATTATAAGGTAAATTTATTTTTACCTCCCATTTAAATCCACTCCATGGGGCTAGTTCTTCTTCTTTCCCTGAATGAGTGTTTTGGCAGGCCCCGTAACTTTTTGGGTCATAATTAGGTAATTCAAACAGTTCTGCAGTCATTTTAAATTAGAAAAGCCTCACATTGTAATTGTTGTAATTAAAATGTCCAAGGCCATGTAACAGTCAAAACTTACCTCTTGTTTTAGAATTGAACCTTCTTCCTTTCTTGCTGTTTGGGCCTGTGCAGGTGGGAAACCTGCAGTAAGGGAAGGGGGCTAGATCAGCTTTCCCTTTTCCCCACTAAGCGCTTAGGTTCCTTCTCACCATCTTACTAACTTTGGGGTTTGACTCTTCTGCTCCAGGGTTCTGGGCAGGTAGGGAGTGGCATAGTTCTTACCTAACTGACTGTGAGGTGAACATCTGACACCAGCACTTTTGGATTCAGCAGATGTCTAAAGATGACTCTTAATCTCCTGGACTCTTGCCCAAGTCCTTCAGAGCATCCCTCTTCCCCTCCACATTACATTACTGGGGATCTGTCATCTGCATTCCTAACAAGGGCAAAAGCTTCTCCATTCCCACTGGTCATTTATGCCTCCTTCAGTTCCTAAAATCCAGCTAGGACTTTTAATTCTTTCTGCTGAGAGCTAGTTGCCACTCAGATCTTTGAGGACAAAACCTTAGATGACCCTATGCTAGTTTTTTTCTCACAAATGGCCCACATCTGGACTGCAGGAAGAGTTCATGCATCTTTTGCCCCAGCAAACTTTGGTTGTGCAGAACTCCCAACATAGCCCCCTCCTTCCTATCAATGCGTCTCTCCTGTTCTCTCCACCAAATCATCTCTCACTGTTTAGATTTTTAGTCTGAGTTTGTGCCTCAAACTGAGAGGGATACATGTTACATTTCCGAGTGGTCCCATCAAAAGCCTCTTTCCTCAGACTAAAATAAGAAGAAGAGATCCTCCCCCACGCCCTCACCTTTGGAAGAAGGGGTCACCTTCATAGCAACAGCTGTCTATCAAAACATAAATTCTCTCGCCAATCTCCAGCGCCTCACCATTTTATGCCTTCACCGAGGGGGAGGAGTTTAAGAGTCAAGAACTGGGTTTAGCCACCGTTGACATGGTTGCATCATGTGACCTAGTATGTGCTCTATTTTTTCTTAGTGCTTCAGCCAACCCTTCCTATTTAGTGTCCTGATGGTGTATCTCTAAAGAGAAAAAAAAGCAGAAGATTTGAACTTTATCTAAAGTGAATTTAAAATACATAATTATAATTCTTATTTCTGTAAAAATACTTTGTCAGTTTTTGAAATATGAGTGCTTTAATGGAAATTCTTCTATTGATTACCTAAAACATATATACTTCTGTATTATTTAGATAAAATGGAGAGATACTTTGCTTGTTCTAGCAAAAGTTTCCCCGAAAAGGATGAAATATTCAAGTTGTATCTTTCCTCAGCTCACTTGGTAAGGTCCAATAATAGTATGTATTACTGACCCTCTGTAGTCCTTTTAAGTCCATGTGTAAAACCAATAGCACTGTACTATGTATTTTCAAATACCTTCTACTCTTTTCAGACTTGGGGAGGGGAAATTCTATATACAGTGAAACCTGCGAAAGCCAGAACCCGTGTAAGACAGAAACCTGTCAGAGAAGGAAAACTCAAATATTTTCCATTAAAAGGAGTGATAGAGAAGTGGTGAGATTGCACCCTGTCAAAGACGGAAAACTTGAAAGACCCGGAAAAGCAAGGCAGTCTTGGCAAGTTCCAGCTCTCAGAGGTTTCATTGTAAATAATAATATTTTCTATCCTTTTTATTCCGTGGATCAGGTAAAATATTTTATTTAGCCATGTACCCTGGGTGTTTTTGCTCAGTTTAAAAAAAAATTATGCTTCCTTCCCACTTTTTAAAAAAATATCGGCTGTAAGGATTTTCTTTTTTTTTATGGGACTGATTTATCCTTTTGAAGTTTGACAGCTGTGGCCTGTTTGAGAAAGAAAGTTACCTCACATAACCTTGAGAAAGAATCTTTTCCTTTTATAACAACTACCACATTGCAGTTGTCACTCTGGGTAGGAATAATTTGATTCCTTTGATTCAAATAATAGGAGACAGCAAACAACAATAAAATTAAAACTACTGTTAAAATAGCCATGCAGCAAATGCCAACAAAAACATAGTAAATAAAAATGTACAGATTGCCCAAAAATTTATGATAAATGTAATAAAAACAAGGAAAAACACTTCATGAAAACAAATGCATTTATCCCCAAATCTGCTTTGACTTAGTCCCTAATTCCTTTTTAATATGCCAACATGTATTTATCTTTTTACTTACATCAATTGTGAAATGCATGCCCATAAAGTCAAAAGTACCTTTCATATTTGCGACTATATATTCTGGGAAAAGAATAGGCTTTGGAGGAAGACAGACCTGCAAAGCTGGTGTCTCCTGCCACTTACGGTCTGTGTGCCCTGGGGTAGGTTACCTAACCTTTCTGACCTTCTGTTTTATCCTCTTAAAAAGGGAATTATAACCTACTTTTTGGGTAGTTGTGATGTTGTAGTTCTAGTAGAGGTATTAGTAGTAATAATAGCTAACATTTAGCAAGTGTTTATGTGTATTAGGCATTGTTCAAAGTGTTTTGTTCATTGTGGCATTTAATCTTCACATTTACTCTTCTGTAAGGTAAGTACTATTACTGTCCTTTCCTGACAACCCTATTAAACAACACAACTCCCCTCCCCAGGCCCAGTGCTCCTGATTTCCCTTCCCTGCTTTTATTCTTATAATTTATTTTACTTATTCTATCTATCCATCCATCTACTAATTTCATCCATTTAGTCTGCCTCCTTGCCAACCCCCATTAGAATGTAAGTTCCATGAGGGCGAGGATTTTTGTGTTTTGTTCACTTTTGAATCCCCAGCACCTGATTGATAGTAACGGCCTAGTACATACTTCTGGAATGAATGTGTCTCTGCATTTTGTAGATACAGAAACTAAAGCTCAGGTAGGGTAACTTGCCCAAAGTGATCTTAACCACTAGAACTAAATGAGATAAAGCTCTTATTATCTGTTTCATGTTGGTGTTCAGTAAAAGCCCCCATTTTTTATTGTTATATTTTTACGTATCTTCTCAAAACTGGGAAATAGCCAATAAAATGCAGTAAAAAGAATTTTGCTTTATACATTTGCTTCCCTTATTATTTAGACACAAAATAATGATCTTTTAAAAATGGGAATTTTTATGTGTGATAGCATGTGGTTTGATTCTTTGTTTAGTAAACATAATAACTTTATACCTATTTCTGTGACAGAAAAGATTATTATAATGATTCAGTTGAAAGCTATTATGACATTAACATAATAAGTTACTGAGTTCTGAAAGGGCACTTTTAAAAATAGATTTTTTTCCTAGCTAGAGATTAGAATTATTAAAAATAACAGTCTTTAGCACCATCTGCTTTCCACAGGTTTCTCTTCACTTTTAGATTAGTAGAATATTCTTCTCTCCACCAAATTAATTGTTATTTCTTGTTTGTTTTTTTCTCTTTCCTAAAGGAAATCCAGTGTTTTTTCCTAATTGAAGATGAGGTTGCTTCAAGGGGGATTCTAAGCGTGTTTACATCCAGAGGACTTGCTCCCAGTTTGGAAATCATAAATAGTACATATACTGGCATCTTCCACTTTAATTTAACTTTGGTGATTACATTTTATTTTATTCTGCAATATGTTATTAACAAGAAGCATACTTTCCCTTATAGGATGTGGTTTTTAAAAATAGCTGGTTCAGAGTATTGCATTTATGTATGTCTTAAACCTAACAATAAAGTGTTTTGCTTTAAATAGTCACATATCTTTTAGAGAAAGAGAAGAAATGAAAGAAATACATATGGTTTCTTACTATTTACCTACATATTTACCATTTTTACTTCTCCTCGTTCCATTCGGTAGATTCAAATTGCCATCTGCTAGGATTTCTCTTCAGCCTGAAGAACTTCTTTTAACATGTCTTATAGTTCAGGTCTACTGACAATGAATTCTCTGGGTTTATTACCCCTCTGAAAATGTCTTCCTTTCTCCTTCTTTTTTTTTCTTTTTGGTAACATCTTTATTGAGGTATAATTCACATATCATACAATCCACCCTTTTGAAGTATACAATCAATGGTTTTTAGCATTTTCACAGAGTTGTGCAACTATCACCACAATCCATTTTAGAACATTTTATCACTCCAAAAAGAAACTCCAGACGTTTTAGCTATCAGCCTCAAGTTCCCCCAATTCCACTCCTAGCCCTAGGCAACCACTAATCTACTTTCTGTCTCTACAGATTTGCTTATTTTGGACATTTTGTATAAATGAAATCATACATAGTCTTTTGTGACTGGCTTCTTAGCACGTAATGTTTTCAAGGTCCATCTATATTGTAGCATGTATCAGGACTTAATTTCTTTTTATTGGTGAATAATATTACATTGTATGGCTGTATCACATTTTATTTATCCATTATTCAGCTGATGGAAATTTGAGTTGTATCCACTTTTTAGCTATTATGAATAATACTGCTATGAACATTCATGTACAAGTTTTTGTGTGGAAATATGTTTTCACTTCTCTTGAGTATACAGATGGGTCATATGGCAACTCTAACTTTTTGAACAACTGCCAGATTGTTTTCCAAAGTGGCTCTACTAGTTTACCTTCCCACTAGCAATTTAAGAGGGTTCCATTTCTCCACATCCTCACCAACACTCATTATTATCTTTTACATTTGAGCCATTCTTGTGAGTGTGAAGTGGTATCTTATTATGGTATTGATTTGCCTTTCTCTGATGACCAATGATGTGGAGCATCTTTTCATGTGCTTATTGCTGTTTGTATATCTTCCTTGGAGAAATGTCTACTCATATCCTTTCCACATTTTTAATTGTTTTGTTAATTTCATTTTCATATTATTCATCACAAGTGTATAGAAATACAATTGATTTTTGTATATTGATCTTGTATCCTACAACCTTGCTGAACTTGTATATGAGTTTTAATAGTTTTCTCGTGGTCACATTCATTTTTTAATACTTCTGTAAGACAAATAATACCTAATTGACTTTTCAGTTTCTTTCAGCATTTTAAATATGTCATTCTAATGTCACCTGACTGGCATTGCTTTGGAATGAGAAATCTGCTATTTTATTATTGTCCCCTGTATATAATGTGTTATTTTTTCTCTGAATGTCGTTAAGACTTTCTCTTTGTATTTACTCTGATTGGCGTTTGTTGGTCTTCTTAGATTGTATATTCATGAAATTTGGAAAATCTTTGGCTGTTATTATTTCAAAAAAAATTCTACCTTTTTCTGTGTCTCTTTTCCTGTTGGAGCTCCAATTATACACATATTGAAACACGATATTATCCCTCATGTCTTTTCCCCATCTTTCAGATTGGATGATTTCAATTGCTGTATTTTCAAGTTCATCTCTGTGTGTTGCAAACAGTTAACATGCTCAGCTGCTAACCAAAATGTTAGAGGGTTGACTCTTACCCAGAGGCACCTCAGAAGAAAGGCCTGAGATCTACTTCCAAAAAATCAGCCATTGAAGACTCTATGGAACACAGTTCTACCCTGACACACACTGAGTCGACTCAATGGCAACTAGAATGGATCTTCAAATTCACTTATTCTTTCTTTTGCAATCTCCAATTTGTTGTTGAGCCCACCTAGTGAATATTTCATTTCAATTATTAAACTTTTCAACTTTACTCTTCCCATTTGGTTTTATTTTTATTTTCATTTCTATGTTGAGAATCCCTATCCATTCACTCATTAGGACAAAACTCTCCTTAAATCTATGTACATAGCTGCTTTCAAGTCTTTGTCTGCTATCTGGACTCACTTTGAGACAGTTTATTTTCTACCTTTTTTCCTGAGTATGGATTACACACTTCTGTTTCTTTTCATGTCTTGTCAGTTTTGGTGGAAAACTGGACATTGAAAATAATTAGCTGTAGCAACTCTGGATTCTCATGTTCTTCTGAGGATTTGTTATTGTTGTTCTAAAAGGCAAATAACTTGTCTTGGCTTAAACTGCAAACTGTCTTATTTGTGGTTTCAGCAGCTGATATCTCTGCTGAGTTCTTTCAGCTTCCACTGTGGATTTTTTTTTTAAATCTGACCCCTCTGGGGGGTCTCCTCTGTACTTGTGTTGCCCAAGAATTTGGGCAAAGTTTATATTTAGATTTTAGGGCTCACTCTTTTTGCAGTTCCCTTGCCCCTAGGATTTTCCCCTTGAATTCCCAAATGCTCTGTCAACCCCAAGCTCTGTCCTCTGACGTATCAAACCAGTAGTACTTCATTTCTGTTACCTGAGCTTGGCTGTATAGTATTGCATTATGTGGCTATGTTATTATATATATCTGATGAACATTTTAATTGTTTCCAATCTTATACTATTGCAAAAAATGATGTCATAATATCCTTGAGCATATTTTATTTCATGCATAGGTGAACATAATGTAGACTGCATTCCTAACAGTGAAATCTCTGAGTAAAAGGGTATATCCACTTAAGATTTTGATAGATACTGCCAAATTATCCTCCATTACAATTTACACATATGCCAATGATGTATGAGAGTACGTTTTCCCACAGCTTCACTAAAAAATAAGTTGCATAACTTTTTGAACTTTGCCAATATATAGGGTGGAAAATAGTGTCATATGTATATTGCTTTCAATTCTCTTATGATTAAAGAAGTTAAGCATCTTCTCATTTGCTTAAGATATTTATATCTTCTTTATTGTGAACTGTCTGCTTTTGTTCATTTTTCTACTAGACTTGTTTTTGTAAGACCTCTTTATACATTAAAGAAATTAGCTCTTTGTGATGTGTGTCAAAAATATTTTTTCTAGTTCATTATTTCTATTTTGACTTTGTATATGGTGCTTTTGTTCCATGAAGAATTTTACGCACTCTGGGATCAGTATCATAGCTAGAGGGGCCTTTCTCATGCCAAGAGGTAATTAAAAATATTCCCATGTTTTCTTTGAAAATTTTATTGTTTTAATATTTTTGATCCATTTTGAATTTATTTTTATTGTAGCATGAGGTAGAAATCTGACTTTTTTTGTATGGATATTGAATTTTTCCAACATGATGTACTAAATTATCCATTTTTCCTCCTTTTATTTGAAATACTTCCTCCATGGATCTGAGCTTATTGGACTTTCTAGTATGTTTCCTTGATTTGTCTGTCTATTCATGTACCAGTGCTTCACATTACTACTCTTTAGAATTAACTTGTCTATTTAAAAAATGTTGAGCTTAAGTTAATGTAAGAAAAATTGATATTTTTATGATGTTGAACATTCCTATCAAAGAACATGGTGTACTTTTATATTTGTTAGTCTCCTTTTTTTCTGTGTCTCTAATCTTTTAAAGCTTCTTCGTATAGATCTTGCAAATTAGTTCTCTCTTGATATTTCATCTATCATTGCTATAAAATAGTATAAATGGAGTTATATCTTCCATTACATCTTCTAACCAGCTGTTGTTTAGCTATATCAGATCTACTAACTTTTGATCACTAATTTTGTCCCAGCAACCTTACTGAATTTTCTAATAAATTCAGCTTGATTCTCTTGAGAAGGAATTGCATTGGTTAGTAACACCACAATAATATTGAATTATAGTTGTAATAAAGTCATTCCTGACCTTAATAAAAATACTTTTAGTGTTTCCCCATTAAGCATATTGTTAACTTGTGAGCTGAACATAATATATTTCATGTTAAGAAAGTTTTATCTATTTCTATTAATAATTTTTTAAAAGAAAATTGAATGTTGAATTTTATCTGATGCCTTTTCAGGATCTGTGTAAATAATTATAAATGGTTTTTTCTCTTTTGATCTTTTAACATTGTTAATTATTTAAAAGATTTTCTAGTATAGTACTATACGTTATTTCCTTAACTTGGTCAGACATATTATTTTAATATACTCTTGAATTCTACTTGCTAAACTTGTATTGAGAATTTTTACATCTGTATTAACAAATAGAATTTCTCACATGCAATCTTTGTTGAGTGCCTACTGTTGTCTTCATTTTCCATTCCCTCCCTACCCATTCTGGGGGTTATTCACCCTATAAGGTTGGATATAAGCAATGATAAGAACAGAGAGAACTGTGCTAACACTTAAGTGTGTGTTTCTCCCCTCCTCATTATAATGTCATAGTTGGGGGAATGAAAACCATTACCAGGGAAACTGGGAATGTATCATGTGCAATTCACCCTTAGTTGGAATTGTACTTCATTTGATGAAACTCTTAACTGATTGTCAGCTCATATTGTTGGTATTCTCAGAACAACAACAACTACAACAGTAACTAACAGTTATTGAATGTCAATGTCAATCACTGTTCTTAGTGCTTAACTTGATCTCATTTAACATTCACAATAACTCTAAGAAGTAGGTAGTATTGTTATTCCCAACTTACAAATGAAGAAGATGACTTACATAGAGGTTAAGGAACCTGTGATATGTCACACAGGTAGGATTAGATTAAGCAAGATTCAAACCCAGGCAACCTGGCCTCTGAGTCTGAGTTCTAAACATAAATATTCAATTTTCCCCTTTGTATTTCGTCTGTCTTTTCATAAAGTCTAGGTAACCTGTACGTACTCCCCTGCATTCACTGACCTCGCACATTCTATTTCTCTCAATTGACATTGATTTCTTCCTTTCCTGGAATTTATCTTTCTGTTCACTCAACATCTACTATGAGTAAACTAAACCTCTAGGAGCATTGAAGTCATCTGCTCATTTCCTTCATTGCATTCTAAGAAAGCATCTTTTTTTCTCCCAGTGGTCTAGTATATATTCAGCCCTTAGCTGTTTATGCTTATTAATACTATTATACTTTAGCTAATACATAGAGAGCATGAACAGATGTTCAAAGCACCATGTATAGATTACTTTTTTAGTTTTGATTTAGTTAATTTAGTTGTTCTTGAGTATTTTCTCCTTTTTATCCCTTTCTCCCATTACTTAGTGGAATAAATATGTTTGTCCAATCTGTTAAGTCTGGAAAGTGTTCATAAATGAATTGAATCCAGGTGATTTTGGAAAATGGCAAGCGTGAAACTCTGATAGATGAAGAATAGTGTAGAAAAGTCAGGCAGAAGAGGCTGAGCAGGGATTTTTCCAAACCCAGAGATACCAGTTAATGATAAAATCACAGAAACTAGGACAGTGCCAGTGTACTAAAACATCAAAAACCTCTTGCCATTTAGAGCCATTACAAACCATCACTAAAGTGAGCATCTGGACTTTTCTTCATTAAGAAAGTCCTCCTATTGAATGCCAGAAAAATATTCCCTTGCCTCTTGCATGTGTATGCAATGTTCTGGCATTCACTTTGGTAACAACTTCTTATTAGCCCTAGTTTTTTTTTAACATTAATTGATTTTTCTGCATTTCTCCTGGTCTGTTTTAAATTTGTCGTCATCATGTATCACACGTATCTTTGTAAGATTTCGTAAGACTTTCTGGAATACATAGGGCTATAAGAAAAAATAATCAATGGGTAAATAGCCTTTAAAAGAAGACAAGTTGTTCCAGGATATGCTGCATGATAATTGAATGTTTTTGTTTAATTTTCTTTTTTAAAATAGAGAATAAAATAGACCAAAATGAGTGTTGCTGCTAGCATAATAAATCACTGTTTTCTGTTATCTTTTTTATTCAAGTACAGTGATCGGGTTTACTGGTTGATTAATATCCCTAGAGAAAACATCACAAAAAACACAGGTAAGAGTTATCTAAATTAATTATTTTACCTGTAAGTCTGGGTTGCCAGTTATAGAAAAGAAAAAAATATTTTATTAAAAAATTATTTATTGTTCCATGTAATATTGTCCCATGTACATGTCCCATGTAATATTTGGGACATACTTATATTAAAAACTTATTTGTTATTTATCTTAAGTTCCAGTTTAACTGGGCAGACTGCATTTTATTGGTAGATTGTTCCTACACATATAATATTTATATTATCCTTTATTTAAAGTAAATTCATTTTATATTCATTGTTGTTGTTAGGTGCCATCGAGTAGATTCTGACTCATAGCAACGCTATGTACAACAGAACAAAACACTGTCCAGTCCTGTACCATCCTCACAATCTTGCTATGTTTTAAGCCCATTGTTGCAGCCACTATGTCAATCCATTTCATCAAGGGTCTTCCTCTTTTTCACAGACCCTCAACCCTACCAAGCATGATGTCCTCCAGGAATTGGTCCCTCCTGATAACATGTCCAAAGTACATGAGACAAAGTCTCACCATCTTTGCTTCCAAGGAGCACCCTGGCTGTCCTTCTTCAAAGACAGAGTTGTTGATTCTTCTGACAGTCCATGGTATATTCAATATTCTTCTCCAACACTATAATTCAAAGACATCAATTCTTCTTCAGTCTTCCTTATTCATTGTCCAGCATTCGCATGAATATGAGGAGATCGAAAATATCATGGCTTGGGTCAAGCATACCTTACTCCTCAAAGTGACATCTTTGCTTTTCAACTCTTTAAAGAGGTATTTTGCAGCAGATTTTCCCAGTGCAATGTGTCTTTTGATTTCTTGACTGCTGCTTGCATGGGCATTGATTGTGGATCCAAGTAAAATGAAATCCTTGACAACTTCAGTCGTTTCTCCATTTATCATGATGTTGCTTATTGATCCAGTTGTGAGGATTTTTGTTTTCTTTATGTTAAAGTGTAATCTGTACTGAAGGCTGTAATCTTTGATCTTCATCAGTACGTGCTTCAAGGCCTCCTTGCTTTCAACAAGGAAGATTGTGTCACCTGCATATCGCAGGTTGTTAATGAGTCTTCCACCAGTCCTTATGCCGAGTTCTTCTTCATATAGTCCAGCTTCTTGGATCATTTACTCAGCATACAGATTGAATAAGTATGAAAGGATAAAGGTGAAAGGATACAACCCTGATGCACATCTTTCCTGATTTTAAACCACGCAGTATCCCCTTGTTCTGTTTGAATGGCTGCCTCTTGGTCTATGTACAGGTTCCACATGAGCACAATTAAGTGTTCTGGAATTCCCATTCTTCACAATGTTGTCCATAATTTGTTATGATCCACACAGTCAAATGCCTTTGCATAGTTAATAAAACACAGGCAAATATCTTTCTGGTATTCTCTGCTTTCAGCCAAGATCTATCTGACATCAGCAATGATAATTCCTCATTCCACATACGCTTCTGACTCTGGCTTGAATTTCTGGAAGTTCCCCATTGATGTACTGCTGGATAATGATGTCTCTAGGAACAGACGCAATTTTATTTCCTCCTTTCCTGTACGTATTCATTTAATTTCTTTTTCTTGCCTAGCACTGGCTAGGACCTCCAGTACAATTCTGATTAGGAATGATACGAGAGGACAGCTTTGCCTTTTTTCCAATTTTAAGGAGAGAACATTGTTTTTAACCATTAGGTTTTGTAGATGTCCTTTATCAGACTGAAGAAGTTGCCTTCTATTCCTAGTTGCTGATTTTGTTTTTTATCATGAATTAGTATCATATTTTGTTAAATACTCTTACTGCCTCTATTGAGATGATTATAAGGATTTTCTTTAGTCTGTTAATATGGTGAACTACATTTGACTCATCTTTGAATATTGAAGCAGCCTTGCAATCTAGGATAAATAACACTTGGCTAGGATGATGTATTATCCTTTTTATATATTGCTGGATTCATTTGGAAATAGGTTTTCAGTCCATAGTTTTATTTCCTTGTGATGTCTTTATCTTATTTTGACAGCCAGATAATGCTGCCCTCATAAAATGAGTTGGGAAGAGTTCTCTTCTTTTCTACATTTTTTAGTATCATCTCTTCCTTAAATGTTTGGTAGGATTCTCCAGTGAAGACATGTGAGTCTGGAATTTTCTTTGTGAGAAGAATTTTAACTACAAATTCAATATCCTCAGTAGATATAGAACTATCCAAGTTGTCTGTTTCTTCCTGAGTGAGCTTTGGCAGTTGGTGTCTTTCAAGGAATTTGTTCATTTCCTCTAAATTGTTGAAGTTATGGGCATAGAATTGTTTGTGATATTCCCTTATTATCCTTTTAGTATCTGTAGGGTCTGTAGTGATGTCCCATTTTTCATCTCTAAATTAGTTATTTGTATCTGTTCTTCTCTTGATTAGCCTGACTAGAAGTTCATTAAAGTTATTAATCTTTTCAAAGAAACATCTAGTTTCATTGATTGTGTATTTTGTTTTTCTTTTCTTCATTTCATTGATTTCCGCTCTTTATCTTGTCCTTCTCCTTGCTTTGGATTTAATTTGCTCTCTCTCTCTCTCTCTCTCTTTTTTCAAGTTGCTTAAGTTGGGAACCTTTATATCAAGGGTTGGCAAACTACAGATTGTAGGCCAAATCTGGCCTCCTGCCAGTTTTTGTGAATAAAGTTTTATTGGAACACAGCCACACTCATTTATTTGTTTTCTAAGCCTGTTTTCATGCTAAAATGGCAGGGTTGCAGTGTTGTGACAGAACTGTATGGTCCACAAAGCCCAATGTGTTAGCACTTCACCATTTCCACCCCACCTGCCCCATTTCCACCCATCCAGTTTCCCTGCCCCTCCTTGCCTTCTCATCTTTGTTTTTGTGTAAACGTTGACCATTTGGTCTCATATAGTCGATTGTTTAAAGGAGCACATTGCTCATGGGTGTTATTGTTTATTTTATAGGCCAATCTATTATTTGGATGAAAGGTGACCTCTGGGAGTGGCTTCAATTCCAGGTTAAAATGGTATCTTAGGGCGATAGTCTTGGGGGTTCTAGTCTCTTCCATTCCAGTAAGTCTGGTCTTTTTTATGAATTTGAGTTGAGTTCTACATTTTTCTCCCATTCTAACCAGGACCTTCTATTATGTCTCTGGTCAGAACAGTCGGTAGTGGTACTATCTAGTTCTGGTCTCAAGCTAGAAGAGGCTGTGGTTAGTGCGAGCCATTACGCCACCGCCCATGTCACCACCACCACACACATTGCCACCACTGCCTATGCCACCGCCACCATCCATGCTGCTGCCACCACCTGCCCCGCTTCTTCCACCCACACCCCTACTTTGGACTAATTTCTTCTTTGAGTCTTTGGCTTCATTCACTCTCCTTTGCTCTAGATGGGAAGAGACCACTAGTTGTATCTTAGATGGCCAATCTCAAGCTTTTGAAACCCCAGACGCTACTCACCTAACAGGGATTTAGAACATTATCTTTATGAACTAAGTTATGGCAATTGACCTTGTTGTCCCACAAAACTATGGTCCTGAGCCTTCAAATCCAGTAAATCAATCCCACGAGGTATTTGGGTATGTCTAGGAAGTATCCATAACTATGCCTCCTATGTGCTTTATTGTATATATTAATATATATGAAGCACATACAAACATGTATATACCTATTCCTTCAAATACACCTATTACGCATGTGCATGTACTCACATATGCCTTCCCACACCGATATAACATTCATATCTATCTATGTAACCACTCAAATATTTTTTTACTTGTTATTACTGTTGTTGCAGAACTGTATATGTTATAGCATTTACCATAATTGTCCTTTATTCTTGCATACCTCTCAGTGTCTTTATTTACCTTGGTCAAGTTGTGCTGACTTCCCTCATATTGTGTATTGCCTTTCCCATCACCAGAATTAACACATGTCTACTATCTAGTAAGTGATTTCCTCTCCATCCCCCTCCCATTCCTGGTAACCATCAAAGAATGTTGCTTTCTGTGTGTATACCTATTCTTGACTTTTTATAAAAGTGGTATCATGCAATATTTGTCCTTTTGTGTTTGACTTATTTTACTGAGCATAATGTCCTCCAGGTTCACCCATGTTATAAGATGTTTTGCAGACTCATTATTCTTCATTGTTGCATAGTATTCCATTGTATTGTGTACCACAATTTGTTTATTCATTCTTATGTTGATGGGCACTGTCACGGATTGAATTATGTCCCCCAAAAAATACGTGTATCAATTTGGCTGGGCCATGATTCCTGGTATTGTGTGATTTTCCTATATATTGTAAATCCTACCTCTATGATGTTAATGAGGGAGGCTGGATGGCAGTTGTGTTAGTAAGGCAGGACTCAATCTACAAGATTGGATTGTGTGCTGAGGCAATCTCTTGAGATATAAAAGAGAGAAGCGAGCAGAGAGACGGGGGACCTCATACCACTGAGAAAGCAGTGCCAGGAGCAGAGCATGTCCTTTGGACCTGGGGTCCCTGTGTGGAGAAGCTCCTAGTCTGGGGAAACACTAACGAGAAGGCCAACAGAGAGAGAAAGCCTTCCCCTGGAGCTGACACCCTGAATTTGGACTTTTAGCCTACTTTACTGTAAGGAAATAAACTTGTCCTTGTTAAAGCCATCCACCTGTGATTTCTATTGTAGCGACACTAGATGACTAAGTCAGGCACTTAGGTCGTTTCCATCTTTTTGCTATTGTGAGTAATGCTGCAATGAACATGGGTATGCATATGTCTATTCATGTCACTGCTCTTATACCTCTAGGATATATACCTAGGCGTGTATTCCATTGGTCTATATGTCTGTCTGTCATTATAGCACTACCAGGCTGATTTGATTACTGTAGCTGAATAGTAAGTTCTGAGATCAAGAAGTGTGAGGCCTCCTACTTTGTTCTTTGTCTTCAATATTGCTTTAGCTATTCAGGGCCTCTTTCCTTTCCATATAAAATTGGAGATTAATTTTTCCATTTCGTTAAAGAATGTTGTTTGGATTTTTATCAAGATTGCATTATACTTATAAATCACTTTGGGCAGTGTTGACATTTTCACAATATTAAGTCTTCCAATCTGTGAGAATGTAATGTTTTCACATTTATTTAGGTCTGTTTTGATTCCTTGCATTAGTGTTTTATAGCTTTCCTTGTATAAGTATTTTACATCTCTGGTTAGATTTATCCCTAGGTATTTTAAACTTTTGGGGGCTATTGTAAATGGTTTTTTTTTTTTTTTTTAATTTCCTTTTCAGAGTTCTCCTTGTTAGTGTAGAGAAACCCAACTGATTTTTGTATGTTGATCTTGTACCCTGCCATTTTGCTGAATCTTTCTATTAGTTTCAGTAACTTTCTTGTGGAATCTCTGGGATTTTCTATGTTTAGGATCATGTCATCTACAAATAGGGATAGTTTTACTTCTTCTTTACCAATTTGGGTACACTTTATTTCTCTCTCTTGTCTTACTGCTCTGACTAGGGCTTCCAGCGCAATATTGAATAAGAGTGGTGATAATGGGCATCCTTGTCTTGTTTCTGTTCTCAAGGGGAAGGCTTTCAATCTCTCTCCATTGAGAATAATGTTGGCTGTTTGGTTTGCATATATGCCCTTAATTAGGTTGAGGAATTTCCCCTCTATTCCTATTTTGCTGAGGGTTTTTGTCAGGAAACAGTGTTGGACTTTATCAAATGCCTTTTCTATGTCAATTGAGATGATCATGTGATTCTTTTCCTTTGTTTTATTTATATGGTGAATTATATTGATTGATTTTCTATTGTTGAACTACACTTGCATCCCTAGTATGAATCCCACCTGATCATGATGTATTATTTTTTTTGATATGCTGTTGTATTCTATTTGCTAGAATTTTGTTGAGAATTTCTGCTTCTATACTCATGAGGAATATTGGGCTGTAATTCTCATTTTGTGTGTGTGTGCTATCTTTGTTTTCAGATTTGCTGGAATAAAATTTTTCAAAATATTCTCTTATGATCCTCTTTAACTTAGTCAGTTCTATAGTAATGTTGCCCATTTCATTTCTTATTTTGGTTATTTGCATCTTCTTATTTTTTTTCCTTTGTCATTTTGGCCAATGGTTTCTCAGTTTTATTGATCATCTCAAAGAACCAACTTCTAATTTTGTTGATTCTTTCTATTGTTTTTCTTTTCATTTCTTTCTGCTCTGATCTTTATTATTTCCTTTCTTCTGGTGACTGTGGACTTCTTTTGCTTCTCTTTTTCTATTTATTCAAGTTGTCAGGTTAAGCTATGATTTTGGATCTTTTTTCTTTTTTTTTATGTGTGCATTTATCACTATAAATTTTCCTCTGAGCACAGCTTTTGCTGTGTCCCAGAGGTTTTAGTATGTTATGTCTTCATTCTCATTTGATTCTAACAATTTTTAAATTTCATTTTTAATTTCTTCTATGACCCAGTAGTTTTTAAGCAATGTGTTATTCAGTTTCCATGTGTTTAATTTTTTTACCTTGCTCTTTTTGTTATTGATTTCTAGTTTTATAGTGTATAGTCAGAGAAGATACTTTGTATTATGTTGATGTTTTTGAATTTACTGAAGCTTGCTTGGTAGCCTAGAGAATGATCTGTGTACGTTGGAGAAGAATGTGTACTGTGCTGCTGTTGGACGGTGTGTTCTGTATATGTCTAAGAGGTCAAGTTGGTTGGTTGTGTTATTTAGATCTTCTGTATCTTTACTGCATTTCTTTCTAGTTGTTTTGCCCATCTTCAAAAGTGGTGTGTTAAAGTCTCCTACTATTGTTGTAGAACTGTCTATTTCTCTTTTCAATTCTGTTAGAGTTTGTTTTATGTATTTTGGAACTCTGTCATTGGGTGCATAAATGTCTATTATTGTTATGTCTTCTTGGTGAATTGATTTTTTAATCATTATATAATGCCCTTTGTCTCTTATAATGGATTTTTACTTAAAGTCTGTTTTATCTGAAATTATTGTGGCTACTCTTGCTCTCTTTTGGTTACTGTTTGCTTGATATATTTTTTCCATCCTTTGATTTTTAACTTATTTATGTCTTTGTGTCTAAGGTATGTCTCTTGTAGGCAACATATTGACGGGTCTTTTTTTTTGTCCATTTTGCCATTCTGTCTCTTAACTGGTGCATTTAACCGATTTACATTCAGTGTGATTAGTGATCTTTATGAATTCATTGCTGTCATTTTTTTATACTTTTTTCATGGTGTTAACATTTTCTTTGTTCCTTTTAATTTTCTGTGCTGAGTTCTTTATGTGTATGGATTTTCTTTTCCTATCAATCTTTTATTTTTTTTTATTTTTTTATTTTTTTGGTTTACTGAGTATTTTTTATTTTTTCTTCCTTATTTTGGTGAGTACCAAACCAAAAACCCACTGCCATCAAATCAATTCCAACTCATAATGACCCTATAAGACAGGGTAGAACTGACTCATAGGGTTACCAAGGCTGTAAATCTTTATGGAAGCAGACTGCCACATCTTTCTCCTACGATTTGGTGAGGAGATCTATTTTCTTTGTGGTTACCCTGAAGTTTACCTTTATCCTCTTAAATTTAAAACAATCTGTTATATCTTAGAATCACCTTGACTTCCTCTCCATATGGAAGTTCCATTACTATACCTTTTATTTCCCCTTTTGTTTTGAAGTTGTCATCATTTACAGCTTAACACCTCCGGTTCCCTGTAGTGAGTTTAGTTGCTTTATTTTACTTTTATGAAGTCTTTATCTGGATTGGTATCTGCGTGATGCTGTCATATATCTTTTTCTCAGGTTGTTGTCTGATGTCTGTTGTCTGCTTGGCAGCACAAGAGTGGAAACTACCACTCATCTGGTTGGCAGGGTGGTAGGTATGGGAGGTGGGGCGGGCACCTGCCTCTGCCAGTCCTCAGCCCAGTGGCATGGGAGTGTGTACTGGCACTTGCCAGGTGAGTGGGGCAGCAAGTGGGGGGTGGTGATTGGCAGGATGGGTACACATGGCCAGTTTCAGGCACGTCAGGGCTGGGAGAGATTCATACCATGGTCTCCAGGCAGGTGGGGTGGTGGCAGGGGTAGGAGGGGCTCATGCTGTTGGTCACCAGGAGGATGGGGGAAGGGAAAGTGTGCTCCTTTTGTCACCAGGTGTGGGTGCTGGGGCACTCCCCGTAGGCTGCAGCCAGCCATCAGAACCTGGCCCTGACCAAATGCAGGGGGAGAGGGGTGGTGAGGGGCTGGCTGGAGTCTGGTTTGGTGGGGGAACTTCTGCTGACACTCTATGGATCTACTACTCCATGTGCGCCACCCACCCTAATGGTCAGGAACTGCCACCGGTGAGTGGTCCTGTCTCTGACTCCTGGTTCTGTCCCTGTTCTGTGGTCAACAGGATCCCTGGAGCTCTCACCTGCCTTCCTGTAGTTTCCCTTCTTAGATCCTTTTCATGTCGTGCTCACCTTACTTCACTCTAGGTTTGTCTACACAGTTTCTCTGTCTCCTATTGGGAATTCCATGAAGTTGTCTTCCTGTGCTTTTCACCCAGGGTTGCTGCTCACTTTTTTCTCGAGATGTCCACTCTGTGCCTGGCTGACTGGTAGGGCACCTCTGATCCATAACTCTTCTTGTTTGCTCTTTTTGTTCAGTTTCTCCTTCCAGTCAGTGTTCAATCTAATTCTTCATCCTTCCTTTTGATGCTCAGCATTCCAGGATTGTCATTTGTATCTGTTTCACTTGCTTTCTCAGATCTTTACTGTAGAGGGACAGCATAGTGTGTATGACTAAGCTACCATCTTGGGCTATCTCTGTCATATCTTTTTGTGAATTGAACCCTTTATCATTATGTATTGCCCTTCTTTATCCGTGGTAATTTCCTTGTTCTGAAATCTCCTTTGGCTGTGGCTAAATCGATATCAAAACAAAAAAAACCAACCCATTGCCATCAGGTTGATTCGAACTCATAGCGACCCTATAGAACAGAGTAGAACTGCCCCATAGGGTTTCCAAGGAGCCACTGGTGGATTTGAACTGCTGACCTTTTGGTTAGCAGCCAAGCTCTTAACCACTGTGCCACGAGGGCTCCACCATCTTTCTTTTGATTAGTGTTTGCATGATATGTCTTTTTCAACCTTTTACTTTTAACTCAGTCTTTATATTTAAACTAAATTTCTTACAGATAACATATAGTTCAGTCTTAGTTTTTACATCTAATCTGGAAATCTCTGTGTTTTAATTGATTTTTTTGGACCATTTACATTTAATATAATTGTCGATATGGTGGTATTAAAATCTATCACCTTGCAGGTTGCTTAAAATTTGTTCCATCTCTCTGTTTTTTTTCTCTTTTATTGTCTTCATTCAGATTATTTTTTATAATTCCATTTTATCTCCACTATTGTTTATTATTTAAACCTTAAAAAAAATTAGTAGTTTCCTTAGGGTTTATACTATACATTTTAATTAATCACAGTTCACTTTGAAATATTATACCACTTCACATGAAGTGTCATAATTTGTTTTTTATCAGCCACAACAACTCTAAGAGAAAAAGTATGATCCAAAATATCATTACCTGGATTCATTGCCGTGGTGGTAAGATAGCTTCATAATTTCTTTTTCATTATTTTAACAGCAAAATATTTGTAGGAAAAATGTGGGAAACCTTAAGTATATAAATGTAGTCAAAATGTTTGGAAAGTGATAGATAATTGTTGGTAATGTTCATATGTCATAAAAAATAACTGATTATGTGCCTTTTGTTTTTAAACAGATATTACACCAGTAGAAGAATGGTTAGTAAGGATTAGTTTACATCACGGATTAAATATTTATGCTACTGAAGGAACTCTATTGGATACTGTTCGAGGTAAAAGTAGATAAAAGTAAAATGGAATCCATATATTCTTTCAACAAACTTTGACACCTACTATATGCTAGACCCTGTCCTAAGTCCTTGTGATTTAAAAAATAATAATAATAAGGGATGACCATGACCCTTGAAGAGCTCACAATCTGATAACAATTAAATACATGTGGGTAATGGTTAATGTTTTTGTTGTTGTTAGCTGCCATGGAACTGATTCTGACTCATGGAGACCCCGTGTGTATGGAGTAGAACTGCTCCATAGGGATTTCAAGGTTGTGAACTTTCAGAAGCAGATCGACAGGCCTGTCTTCCAAGGTGCCACTGGGTGTGTTTGAACAGCCAACCTTTCAGCTAGTAGTCAAGCACTTAACCATTTGCGCCACCCAAAAGAGGTCTGGAAAGACTAGTATAGAAATATGGAAATATACTTCTACTGTGGCCATATTAGGGACCATTATAAACAATGGCTTTATAAAGTTAGTGTTTGCACCTTCTATAAAGATGTTATAGAAGATCTTGTTCATTGCATCACAATCTTATTTAGGAGGACTGTCAGCAAAAATTCTGTTGTGTCTTAGAACAGTTTTTTTTTTTTTTTTTCATAAGAAATTGGTTGTTTTAATCTTATGGGAACTGAATGATGTAACTGGCTAGGCTTCTCATTTTCAATTTTCTGATAGGAAATTTATAGCTTAATTTTTGGATCACCTATATTTATTTTTTTTATAGCACTACAGTATAAATTTTCTTGATCATCAATCCTAGATCTTGCATTTATCCTCACCTTCCTTTTTATTTTTATTCTTTGTCCCTACTTTGATATGATGCTATGTAAAATGCAGAGTAAAAATAAATAAATACTGCATTTTATGGAAAGAATCACTTGAGGAGCTTTAAAAAAGTAATGATGTCTAATCCCACCGTGTATACCAATTAAAATCAGATCTCTAGAGGAGGTACAAGACATCTGCAGTTTTAAAAAAATCACCTGGAGAGGTGATTATGTTGTTCAGTGAGGGTTGAGAGCTACCATGGAGAAATGCTTGCATATGTGACTCAGAAGACATGTGCAAGTCTATTTAATGCAGCATTATTTGTAATAACAAAAAACTGGAAACAACCTAAGTATCCATCAACAGGGGAAAATACAAACAAATGTCGGTATGTTCTGTTAAAATGAAGGAATTAGATCCATATAGATCATCAAGAATAGAAAGAACTCCGAAACATTGAGTCAAAAAAATCAAGTTGCAGAATAGAGTAAGAGAGCATTTATCTAAAATTTAAATATATATACTGTTCATTGATACATATATATTACAGTAAAATATAAAATCATGGACTAGAAATATACACAGAAATTTCATGATACTGGTTGCATTTGGGGAGAATTTAGGAATGGAATTATGGAGGGGAGCAGAGGTGTCTTTAATCGTATCTGTATTATTTTATTTCCTTAACATTTTTAAACTATCTGAAGCAAAATTGACAAAATGTACTTGCTTATTTTTTCATCATTTTCAAAATTAAAAAAAAATAGTGAGCCAATTGTTCAATAATAATTGCAATACTGTTATTTTTCGAATTCTGATATTTTGAAGTCCTATGCTACTTTGTTTTTACTGGCTAATTCCTTTCAGAAGTAGACTGCTAGGTCCTTCTTCCTAGTCTGTCTTAGTCTGGAAGCTCAGCTGAAACTTGTCTGCCATAGGTGACACTGCTGGTATATGAATACCAGTGGCATAACTTCCAGCATCACAGCAACATGCAAGCCACCACAGTACGACAAACTGACAGACACGTGGGGGAATAATCTGAGAAGCTGGACTATATGAAGAAGAAAGGAGCATCAGGATTGGGGGAAGACTCATTAACAACCTGCATTATGCAGATGACACAACATTGCTTGCTGAAAGTGAAGAGGACCTGAAGCACTTACTGATGAAGACAAAGACCACAGCCTTCAATTTGGATTACACCTCAACATAAAGAAAACAAAAATCCTCACAACTGGATCAATAAGCAACATCATGATAAATGGAGAAAAGATTGAAGTTGTCAAGGGTTTCATTTTACTTGGATCCACAATCAACACTCATGGAAGCAGCAGTCAAGAAATCAAAAGACACATTGCATTGGGCAAATCTGCTGCAAAAGACCTCTTTAAAGTGTTGAGAAGTGAAGATGTCACCTTGAAGACTAAGGTGAGCCTGACCCAAGCCATGGTATTTTCAATTGCATCATATGCATGTGAAAGCTGGACAATGAATAAAGAAGACCAAAGAATAATTGATGCCTTTGAATTGTGGTGTTGGCGAAGAATATTGAATATACCACGGACTGCCAAAAAAGCCAACAAATCTGTGTTGGAAGAAGTACAACCAGAATGCTCCTTAGAAGCAAGGATGGTGAGACTATGTCTTACATACTTTGGACATATTGTCAGGAGGGATCAGTCCCTGGAAAAGGACATCATGCTTGGTAAAGTAGAGGGTCAGTGAAAAAAGAGGAATAGTCTCAATGAGAAAGACTGACACAGTGGCTGTAACAATGGGCTCAAGCATAGCAATTGTGAGCATGGCACAGGACCAGACAGTGTTTCGTTCTGTAGTACATAGGGTCTCTATGAGTCAGAACTGACTTGACAGTACCTAACAACAACTAACAACAGTGCTACTTGGAGGAGCCCTGGTGGCACAGTGGTTAAAGCGTTCAGCTGTTAACCAGAAAGGTAGGCATTTCAAAACCCACCAGCCACTCCTTTGGAGAAAGATGTGGCCGTCTGCTCCTGGAAAGATTTACAGCTTTAGAAACCCTATGGGGCAGTTCCAGTCTGTCCTATAGGGTCTCTATGGGTTGGAATTAGACTCAACGACAGTGAGTTTGGTTTGGTTATGCTACTTTGAAGTACCAAAATATCAATGTAAAACTGTTATTTCATTTTTTAAACAAATCTGAAATATGAATCATTTACATATATAGGTGGACCAGGGAGACTGTGCGCTGCATTAAAATTTTAACTAATGCTTATTTAGAAGGTACAGAAGTACTGAGGCAGCAAAGAGCTTCACAAATTCGTAGATGTTAAAGGTTCCAGTTGCAGGAATGAGATTGATCTGTTTGAGGAACTGAAAGGAGTTGTTGCTAAAGCATAGTAAATGACAGAGTGTCAGGTACTGAGTTTGGAGAGGCTGGCAGAGATCACATCGACCATGCTGAAAAGTATGGATTTTATTCTAGTTACAATGAAAAGCCATTGGAATGTTTTAAGCCAGGAGAGCAATAAATTCTGCTTTATGCTTTATAAAAAGATCACTTTGGCTGCTGTGTAGAGAATTAACTCCTGGGGAAGGATGGCAAGAATGGAATAAAGGGAGTTAGGTGGGAGGCTGTTGCAATACTCCAGTCGGGAGATGACCTGGGGTCGTTGGACTGTGTTATTAATGGTCCAGATGGTGAGAACTACAAGCCTTTAGGGTACGTTTTGGAAGGAGAGCTGATATGACTTCCTGGTAGTTTGAGGGTCAGGGTATCAAGGAATAATTCTTATTTGAGCAATCAAGTGGATGATGGTATCATTTATGGAAATGCTGAAGACATGGAGAGAAAACATAATGTCACCAGTGAACTTCATAATGGTCACTTTTCTGTCTCCTTTTTAGCTTCCCAGCAGCAATCAAAGCTTTTAATTGTTCCCTCTTAAAAGCGACCTTAAAACACTTCACATACAGTACCTGATTTTAAGGAGCTTGTACATAAGTTGAGAAGTGTTTTCAATTCAATGCAATCATGTACCAGATGGAAGCTCTAATCTCCCTGTTCTCTAAGGTTAGGGTATGGATGGCCTGCACACATTCTGTGCACGAGAAAGTCAGCCACCTTGCCCCAAATTTCTTTGGATTCCTGAGCAACTTATTGATGAATTAGTTCAGTTTTATATAGGGTCTCTTTCCCTTCTACATTCTCCCTGTACTACACTATCTTAACTCAGATGGAAACTTAGCTCCTTTTTTTGCTTCGCACAAAATGAAAAAAAAAATTGCACAGTCTGGATTTATAGCAGATGTTATTGAAAGTTTGGGGGAGATGGAGGGGATTTAAACAGCTAAAGAATGGATTGCTAGTTATCTCTGTTTTTAAAAGTCCTTTGACAATTTTTGAAACTCAGACTGCAGTATTCTGTCAAGTTGCCTTGGCTGATTTTGCACTCTCTATTTTTCATTTTCTCAAAAGAAAAAAGTCCTTTTACTATGCATGAAAATTTGACTTTCTCCAGCTCTAGCCCTTTGCATATCCAAGAATGATATTCCAAGTTTTAAAATTTATAAAGCCTCATTGATTAAACTCTTGAGAAAGGACCATTATCTACTCCAGTCTTGTGAGGAAGAGTGTAGTTTCATTTTTCTAGTTACAGTGGAGTGCAGCGTGCTATTGGAGCACCTAGGAGGAGAGCCATGCTCATTCTAGGAGTTCATGGAAGGCTTCCCAGAGAGGGGCTGTGACCAGATCGAGATCTGAAGAAAGGAGTGGGGGGAAAAACAGATATACAAAGGGATTCGAACTGCCAACCTTTTGGTTAGCAGCCAAACGCTTAACCACTGAACCACCAGGGCTCCATTATAAGCTATAGTCTCGAATGGGAGGGCTGTTCTGGCAAGAGTTGAAGCTGAAGAATTAAAAAGACATTAGATCATGGAAGGCCTTGTTTGCTATGTGAAAGGCCTTATTTGCTACTTAGTGCTGCTATTCTGCCCATGCTGAGTTGAAGATGTCTCACTCTGACTGGTTTTTCTGTTAGCCCCATTCTCGACTTCTTTATATCATTCAGAAATCCCTCTAAGTGTCTTGGCCACTGATGATGACTTTCTCTGTTCTCCATGCTACTCTGGATTTATTATAATTTTTTAATATCTACAGCTGTTTCGAGGAGCACTGGTGGTTCAGTGGTTAAAACGCTCAACTACTAACCGAAAGGTCGGTAGTTTGAAACCACCAGCAGCTCTGCAGGAGAAAGATGAGGCAATCTGCTTTCTTTTACAACCTTGGAAACCCTATTGGGCAGTTCTACTTTGTCCTAGAGGGTCGCTATGAGTTGAAATTGACTCGACGGCGATTTGTGGGTTACTGCTGTTTCGAGTCCCTGGGTTATGTTAACTGTTAAGTGCTCAGCTACTAGGTTGGCAGTTCGAAATCATCCAAACATGCCTCAGAAGACAGGCCTGGTGATTTGTTTTTGAAAGGTCATAACCTTGAAAGCCCTGTGGAGCAGTTCTACTCTGCACACATGGGGTCACCATGAGTCAGAATCTACTCAACTGCAGCTAACAACAACGAAACTCCTGTTTCAATGGGATTGAGGAAGAGAACGAAAAGAAAATGTGTGAGTTCTTGAAGCAAAAGTTGTTCTCTAAATGATAAATGTGCATACCCTATGATCAAGCAATTCCATTTCTATGGATGGATCTTGTGGCAAATTGTATTTTATACAGATGGCCAGAACAGTATCTCCCATCCCATGTGCTCTTCTGCAATGTGACCTTGCCAGTTCCCCATCAAGGGTAGTTAGACTTCATTCCTTCTATTCTGGAAAATAAGAAATGACCTATTTTTAACTGGTGAAGAGTGAAGTAATTAATGCATCCATCTATTTGAATTATATTCAAATTATAGAATAGTTCCTTTAAAATCCTTCAGGTAAGTGATAATGTTCCATTTTCAAGAGTGCTGCCACAATTTAAACACTTAACCTTGATTTCCATAGAACCTATCCTTCAGTGGAATCTTGGGGTTATAATGGAAGAAACTGACCTTAGTACATTATATCCACATGTGATAGATCTCAAGGTGACAAAATGCCCCTGTGCCAATGATGTAGCATTACTTGGCTTCATTTTGGATACAACATTTGATGGTAAGTTTATGGCTTTATTTAATGATGGAGGTGGCACTTTGTATTTTATAACAGTGATATTTAACTGGCAGTGCAAGTTAAATGCATAGTCATAGTGTAATATGAATGTTTCCTAAAAATATCTAAGAGTTTACTCTTTATCACTTCACCTTATTTACTTGCAATGTGATATGCTAAGTATACCCTAAGTTTATACCGTAGTTTTTATGCTGTTGTTGTCATTAGGTGCTGTCAAGTCGATTTCAATTCAGCAATCCCATGCAACAGAGTAGAACTTCTCTATAGGGTTTTCTAGGCTGTACTCTTCATGGGAGCAGATCGCCAGGTCTGTCTTCCTTGGAGCCACTGGGTGGGTTTGAACTGCCAACCTTTTGGTTAGCAGCCGAGCACTTAACCATTGCGTCACCAGGGATCCTAATTTATATGTTACATATATAAAAATGCAAAATAATCTACAGAAAAACTATCAGAGCAAATATGGGAGTTCTACAAGGTTGTGGGATATAATAACAATACATAAAAACCATCCCACCAAAAATGAATTCGAAGTCATAATTTTTAAAATCCTACTTATAAAGTAACAAACCCAAAGGGTACCTAGGAATAAACCAAAAAAAAAAAAAGAGTGCTTGTTGTGGAGAATTTATAAAACTCTAATGAAGGCCATAAAAAAAGATCAAATAAATGATAATATATTTTATGTTCATGCACAGGAATTTCTGCTACTGTAAAGATGTTACTTCTCTCTAAAATTTCAATTCAATGCAATTCCAAGAAAAATTATAGCAGTGGTTTCTTTGTGTGTTAGAAATTGACAAGCCAATCCCAAAATTCATATGGACGAATGAGACACCATGAATAGCCAACATAATTTTAAAGAAGAATAAAAAGATGGAACTTGCCCTACCATGACTTATTACAAAGTGATAGGTTATAATAGTGTGCATTGTTATAAGATTAGACACATAGTCTTGCTCCATATTTCTTTGAATTCCTGAGTAGCTTACAATCTCATATTTACCTCTAGCTTTGAGTGCCTGCCTCTGTTGAATTAGCTTAGTCATAAACTGTGTCTGTTCCCTCTATATGCTCTCCTTTACTACCCTATGTCAACCCAGATGGAAGCTCAGCTTCTTTTCTTGCTTTGTTCCATGGATCCCAGGCTAGGACCCAATCCTCCTTGTGCTTATCCAAACACCAATGCCTGCCTTACTTCCTTGAGCCACAGAAGAGCCATTCTCAGCTTCTCGTGCTTGATCCTGCCACACAACTGACAGTCATATGAGTGAAGGGGCAGCCCCAGCCCCCTGGGATCACATTCACCAGAGAGTTTAAACCTCTCTAGAAAAGAAACCATCTTTTCCCCAGCTGGCCACCACTGTACTGAGGCAAAAAAGAAGTCCCTACAGTATCAAGCTGCTACTGCCTAAGCTAGCACTTTCCTTGAGGAGGCCCTTGATCATCTCCCCTTGCCTTCATAATACATGGAGTTAATGGTGGGAACTGTTATCCATGTGTCCCAATTGGGTCTTATTAACCAGTTTCCTCCTCTATGGCACTATTAAGACATCTCCCATTCTGTCTGTCATTCCAGTTTTATCAGCCATCTCCAGAAACCTAAGCTTCCCAGGTCACTTATGGTTATCCCATCCCACATAGTTCTATTCTTCCTCTAATGTGACCTAACCTTCTACCCGTCTCCATCCACCTAAATGCTTCCACTGGAATTTGTAGTCTGTCATCAGTGAACTCCCCCAACCATTCATCTTTTCCATGTATGTTCCCTTTACTTTCTTGCCATAAAGAGTAAACTGGCCATTCCCAGATAACATTCTTTCCCCTGCAACCCTCTCACATGCCACATATCTCAGAACCCAAGAATGAGGTTATAGTCCTTGCTCCTCAGGGATGCTTCTTTATTCCTGTCCTCTCCTTCAGAGGTCCCAGTTCCTTTGAACTCAGACTTTATCTCCCTCTCCCTCTCCTTGGTTTCCAGCATACCTTTCCATCACTCTGTCACTCATACTCATTCACTGATGAGTTTAGCCTCTGGATCCCTGCTTTCCTCTTCACCTTGATTTTTGGTACTATTTTTGGTGGTTTTACCACTCATATGGATGACCCATTCAATACCCTGACTTCTCAGTTTCAAGGCCTCCTCTCTTCCAATGATATTTCTCCTATCTTATTTCTATTGTCACATTCTGGATCTTGTCATATCCAATAATAGCATTATCTCCAAAATCTCCACTATAAACATCTCACACTTTGTCCACCACCTCCTATTCTTTCAGTCTACTCTAGTACTCACACTCCAATATTTCTTGATCTCATGAAGACATCAATCTGTTGTCTCTACCACTTTTTTCACTATCCAATATCCTCCCCTCTCACCATAATTTCATAGTCTATCCTTATAACTATTTCTGTAACTTCCTTGCCCTTCTCTCCCTTCCTTGCCTGACCAACCCCAACCCTAGTTAAAACCTCCTCCACTCCTGAACTGGAGGAGAAAAATATTGCTAGAAAAAAAATTATACTTTGACCTCACGTTGAAACCACACTGACTGGTCTCACTTTAAATTCATGACTACAAATCTCAAGTGAGTGTTTAGCACTACCCAGAAATCCTATCACTCTTCTCTGGTATGTTTATTTTCCCACTCTCAAAAATGATCTTATCACATCTCTCCCCACTCCTAACACTCTACATCATCTTCTTTTCCTTCAGTACCATCAGTTCCTGATCATATGCTGCCTCTTGAAATGGTTGAACATCGACCAATTCTTTTTGGTATAATGACTCTGTATTCCTTCCATCTTCTTTTGATGCTTCCCACGTCATTTAATATTTTCCCTATAGAATCCTTCACTATTGCAACTTGAGGCTTGAATTTTTTTCTTCAGTTCTTTCAGCTTGAGATAATGCTGAGCTGTTCTTCCCTTTTGGTTTTCTATCTCCAGCTCTTTGCACATGTCAGTATAGTATTTTACTTTGTCTTCTCGATCCACCCTTTGAAATCTTCTGTTCAGTTCCAAAAAAATTAGACAGGCCTTTAAAACAAGCGATAACACACGTGAGGAACGTGCTGCTTAGTTCAGTCAAGTACAGGAGACCAAATGTGCAACACCTGCCCAAAAGTAAAGACCAGAAGACAGGAAGAGACGGAAAACTGGATAAATGGACACAGGGAACCCAGGGTGGAAAGGGAAAAGGGGAGAGTACTGACACAATGAGAGGATTGCAACCAATGTCACAAAACAATTTGTGTATAAATTTTTGAATGAGAAACTAAAAAAAAAAAAAAAGCCAAATCCACTGTCATAGAAAAGTTGTTTTAATTATAGATAATTCACATGAAAGCTCTTTGTAAAATATAATATTTCCTGCTAAAAAAGTTTCATTATCACAAAAAATGAAAATATTAAGCAAAATAAAGCACTTATTTCACAGATTACTTCTCCCATTAAATATTTCTAAACTTTGCATAGTCACACGGTATCATCCTAGACACCTGTAATCACTCCCACTTAGAATATAGTGTGCTGTTGTCTGTGTAACCAGACTTAACACTCAGAAAAACAAAGCTTATCTTTAGCTTTCCTATTCCAGAAAGAAGTAAAGGATAATAACACTTTCTTCTACATCTTTCCCTGTACAGAAAAGAGGTGGTAGTCAAAATGTACATTTAACAATATGCATCTTTTGGAAACAAAGCATATGCATCAGATTGTCAGGTGTCTTCAAGCCCTTTCTCCTCCTGCCCCAGGTTGTCACCTTCTCTGGAGCAGTAGTTATGCCCTGTTGACAAGGCTTCAGATAAATATTCCAGCTTTAAGAGACAAAAGATTCTCAGCATTCTTAGCTATGACTAAGGAAAGGTGGGATAAGGGGAACAAAGTGCTTTTAGTATCTTCAATATGACCAGTCTTCATTTCTTAAGAGGTTCTCATGAGGCTTTAGCAAATATTTTTTCTATTTTTCTAAAATTTCTAATATTAAAGTAAATCAAGCATGGTTTCTTCCCTCTTGGAGTTTACATTTTATTTTTCTTCTCTGGAGATTTTTTTATTGTTGACTAAAATGGTACTCCTGAAATTGCAACATATTTGTACTTAAACAGCTATAACACAGAATACTTTAATAATTAAGTAACTTGGAAGATATTTTTAAATAATAAGCCAATATATTTAAGATAATTTATTTTAAAGACATATTATTCCCGGAGGGGACTATTCCAGGCTTCAGTCTAATGGTTGGCTAAGATCCTGTGGTGTAACCTGAAGCTACTTTATCTTGCCAAGCTTGGGGAAGTGAGATTCAAAATTAGGGTGGGTGGGGAGGGAGTTAAGGTAGGGGGATGAGGAGAATGGAATAGAAGATGGAGCAGATACAGGCTCTTGCCCCTAGAGACCTAGTGCCACAGAATTGAGTTAATAGCTTTGTAAAGTTGTCTAGCCTTAGTTTTCCTTTTCTTTCATGTTAGGTGTTTACATAGGCCTAACCTTTTCTGGATTTTGGAATTATGATAATACCAGCTGGTATAACATGACAGAGAATATCTATTCCCAACTTGACAAAGGTAATTCTTCTAACAGTGCCTTCAACTTCAGCATTTCACTATGTCAATTACTTGATCAATATTTATGAAATCTCTTGGCTTTGTTGAGGAGCTCACTTTTTAAATTTTTATTATTATTATTATTTTTTTTTTTTTTGCTTTTTAACTCATGGTATGATTTTTTTCCTTTAGGTCTCACAGACCTTTCAGTGGTGGATTTGGTTTTAACAAATCATTTTTTGGTTATTCTCACCTCTTTGGGTCTTTTTGTAAGTAGAGATCTTCGTTACCCATCAGCCTCAGACTTAAGGGTATGTGAATTGTCTTGTAACTAATAGTTAACCTTAACTATGTTATGTGACATAAAGATGAAATATTTCGTTTTTGAGTTATGTATGGTACACGTTAGAATTGAAATGCTTCTTCCTTTTAAAAAACGTAAAAGCATAATACAGCATCTTTTTCCTTTGCCTAGTTTGTTGAATATACACTTTGGAAATGATGCTAGCATTATTGTTATACAGATTTAAAATAAATTTTAAGTACATATATGTAGAAAATATTAATTCATTCTTTTAGTTATAGCTACATATGTTCTCCAACTATATTAAGGTAATATAGTATTACAAAGTAACAAATTAAAAATACATGTTTGGATTGAGTGAAGGGGAATATAGTCTTGTGTGAGGATATGTAATATGCGTGCCATGAATTTCTTAAACATGTTAATAAATACCTGTCAAAAATGACCAGAATAGAAATAAGACCAGTGTTAAATATTTAGGGAGCCCTGGTGGCACAATGGTTAAGCACTAGGCTGCTACCAAAAAGTTGATGATCGGAACTCACCTAGCAGCTCCATGGGAGAAAGACCTGACGATCCTGCTTACGTAAAGATCACAGCCACGAAAACTATGAGGCACTTCTACTGTGTCACATGGGGTCGCTATGAGTCAGAATCGATTCATGGCTCCTAACAACGATAAATATTTAGAATCAGTAGGAGGAAAGATCCTGTTGCTTGTTGAGTCATTTCTGACTCATAGCAACCCTGTAGGACACAGGAGCATTTCCAAGGCTGTAATCTGTCCAGAAGCGGACTGCCACATCTTTCTCCTGTGGAGTGAATGGTGGGTTTGAACCGACAAACTTTTGGTTAGCAGCTGAGCACTTACCCATTGTGCCACCAGGGCTCCTTGGATAACAGATAAGGGGAGGTAAAGAAGCGGCCATTTTGTTGGTTGTGAGACAGATTTTTCTTATACGTGGTGATTAGCATCTTTCTTAAGGTATATGAATATTCACAGCCTTCCCTCCTTCCGCATCATCTGTGAGAAAGTACCATTTGTCACTCAGTCAACCAGTAGATCTGGCCTTTTGTTGTGCTCATCATGTAATTGTAAAAACAGAGAGTTGAAGCAGCCAGGAAGACTACACTGATTTACATTAAATAATTGACAACAGCAATTTGAAAGGTCAGATAAGAAGCTTAGGGGGCATAGAGTTTATGTTAGTGGAGGAAGAACAACTTGGAAAAGGAGGGTGAGAATGATTGCACAACTTGAAAAATGTAATCAGTGTCACTGAATTGTATATGTAGAAACTGTTGAATTGGTGTATGTTCTGCTGCGTATATTCTCAACACCACCAACAAAAATAAAATAAATTATTTTTAAAAAAATGCACAGAGACATAGGCAAGGATGGTGCATCATGAGATCCTGATCTCTGCAATGCCTGAGAAACAAAATGACAAAGGAGAAAGTAGCAGGCTAGGGTGTTCCCTCCAAACCCCAGTGGGTGGCAACCTTAGTGTCTTTCTGGTCACTTCCATTACCTCTCTATAAAAGTCATCAAACTGTGCTTTTGATCTCAAATTCTTTCTGGAATTAAGTTAAGGGATAAATAAATTAATAAAATGGTGAAACAAGGCAAAAGCTGAGGGAGGGATCCCTAGGATCTTGTGTAAACTAGTTTTGGTGAACGACAATCCTAACTGCTGTGATATAGAAGAAAAAAAAGTCATTTCCTTTGGTATAATTTAAATTGTTATGTTTTGTTATGTCTTCTGATGTTCAAGCAAAAATGAAAGTTTCTTTTTTCTTCCAGTTTTCAAGGGCAGACTTTTGTGGTTTTGAAAGGGTAAGACACCGTAAATTTCTAAGGGTTGGTTGCAAAGACACACGTTTACATTGTAGATTTATTCCTGTTATTATAATAGCATTTGCAGTTTGAACTTTTTAAAAAAATAGTTTATTTTCAGCGATCATTAAATAGGATCTACTCTTCTGTTTCAAAGAAGCACCCCTCTTTGTCTCAGAGGCAACCTCACCCCTTCCTCATACACTGTGGGCTCAGAGCCTCCTGTCCAGGATTGCTATGGGTGCTGAGGTCGTATCCTGCTCAAAGTTGCCCAGTTGAATAGAGCAGAGGCTGAAATCTGGCTAATGCTTTACTTGCAAATCCTTCTACCCCAGTGCAGCCTACCTGGAGAAAGGGACACTTTTTCTAATTTGTACACAAGTATTATATAAGCAAGCTACAGTTCTGCTTCTGGCCTTTTTGTGGATTTTGTTCCAACAGTTAGTTCCTCTCTCTCTTACAAAATCTAGTTTTCTGATTCAGCTAGGTCATTCTCATCAACATATAAGCATGCTTCATTGTGAAAACAACAACAAAATTATGAGTATTCCCAGCCAAGTTTTCCCCCATTCTTTCCTGATACACGCCTGTGAGCACACATGTGGATGTACACACACACACTCACACCTCCTAGGGGGAAGGATCACTTATTTCTCAAGAACTGACGTACTTCCGTATGAATCAGAGGAAAAGGGAAGCAGAGAAGGGACAGAGGGAAATAAATAACTGTTAAAATGGAATCCCAAACCTAGCTAAACTATCATTCAAGAACGAGGGTGAAGAAAAGAAATGTTCACATATACAGGCTGTAAGGGAGTTTACCACCCAGAGACCCCATGGAGTGGAATTTCAGAAACAACTAGAACTGTGATGTAAGCCCTGAGCTCTACGACAGCGGGAGCCTTCTCTGTGTTCAACACTGGATCCCAGTGTGTAGAGTGGTGTCTAACACAAGCTAGGAACTTGGTGTTTGTTGTAAGAGTGGAATTGGTATAAAAAATAACAGTTAGAAATTTTGTGATGAATAATTGGGTGGAACCTGAATTCTAGGTGATATAACAAGGAGGAATGGAAATAGTTTTCAATGAATAATAAGAGTGTTTTAATATCCTTGTTTGGAAGGAGGATCAATATGGTGAATGACTTTCGAATTTGTTAGAATAATGTATAGTTTAATATATATATAAAAAAGTAAAGGATGTTACTTTAAAAAAAAAAAAAAGGGAGAAAGAAAGAGAAGAGAAATATAATCTAAAGCTTCCAAACCCAAAGCTTCCCATCAGTGGAAGTAAAAAGAATTAAAGAATAATCTATCAGTTACACAAAAAGCAAAAGAGAAGGAAAACAAATGGTTTCTGATCCTTCTTTGCATACTAGCAGTATAGTTGTAATGTCCATAGTTATTTTAAAGAGTATTCTGTTGTCTAGAAATAGATTCCTAGTCTTCCTGGATTCTAAACCTCTACAGAGAGGTTCAAGTAGAAGGGGCATCCAAATCAAACCAAATTTGTTGCCTCCGAGTCGATTCTGACTCATAGCGACCCTGTAGGATAGAGTAAAACTGCCCCATAGGGTTTCCAAGGTTGTAATCTTTCTGGAAGCAGACCGCCACATCTTTCTCCCATGGAGTGGCTGGTAGGTTCAAACTGCCGACCTTTCAGTTAACAGCTGAACGCTTAACAACTGCACCACCAAGGCCCCTTTGGAAGGGGCATTTCCCACATCAATCTGTCTTTGGACTCTTAGTCTTGGGACTTTTGGAGAGCCTGAAAATAGCATAATTTTATGCTCTTACTGAGGCTGGACCAACAAGGCCTCGCAGAGGCCTTTAGTGCTCATTAAAACAGACATTCTGGAATGTTTCCTCTTTTGGAAACCTTTGGCTAAGTAATAGTAATAAAGGAAGCTAATGTATGTTGTGGAGCCCTGATGGTGTAGTGGTTAAGAGATCAGCTGTTATGGGGATAGGGAACGCAAGACTGAGTAAGGACAGTATTGACATGTCGTGAGGTTGTTAACCATTGTCATAGGGCAATATGTGTACTAACTGTTTAATGAGAAACTATTTTGTTCTGTAAACCTTCACGTAGATATTTTTGAAATGGTGTATCTTTGGCTATGTATATTTTCACCAAAAAAAAAAA